GCCAGGACTTCTGCCCGCCTGGGTCTCCACTGAGGATTCGGCAATCTGGCCTCTGCGAGCCACTCCAGGAGCCACTGGAGTGCAGACTTCTCGAACGGCCTTCCCGGCCCTTTCCCTAACTTCACGTGACCCCGCTCCTGTCCGAGGGCCACCTTCCTTTGTTTTCGGGCCTCACTACAAACATCAGGCACATGGCGCCAGCGCCACCAGTGAGAAACACATCGTCTTCGAAGTGTTTTCTCCTCCTCTGGGACCACACGTCACATCACCCAATCCCGTGAAACCGCGTGGCGTTCTCAAATGCATTCACATTTAAATCGACCAGAGGACTCATGAGGACCTACCTGAATAGTCTCAAGAGGAAAGATGATTGCAGCAAACGGCTCGCGTGCCACGCGTCTGCACAGAGAACGCCAACGGGAAGGCGCATGCGCAAGAAGACAAGTGCAGCAGTGAGTTTGCGCACTGCGTCAGACAGCTGTGGGTGGGTCTTGGAGTTTTCCAGCCTCGGCAGACGCGGAAGTACAAGCTGTCCCATGTTTGTTTTCAGCGGGAGCAAAGTGTTCGTTTTCAGCCCAGTCTTTCTTTGTCTCCCAGGAACTCTGGGGACAGACAACTCTTATGTTTCCCTTTGGTAAGGCTATGCATCTTGAGAACTGTTTTGATACGAGCAGGTTTAAAGGTATTAATACCTCTTTTGATATCTGCTTTTCATCAGTGCTTTCCTTCCCAATTGTGGTTACTTTGTTGTATGGGTGTTTTCATGCTTCCTGATAAAGTGGACCTTGTGATGCAATGGAGACAGTTTAGGAGGGAAGGTCCTGCCACCTAGGTGGGTTTCCTGGATCAAATCACAATCTCCCGGCTTTTGATCCCCGCTGTCTGGACAATTGTGGGCATTTGGTGTGTGAGTGGATAGTAGTGCTCTCTTTCTCTCTCGTGTCTGTCTCCCTCTTGAATAATGCTTATGAACTACAAGAAGCAAGAAAATAGTCAATAATTTCAGGAAAAATGATGCCAGCAGCCAACAAAGTAACCACAATTGGGAAGGAAAGCACTGATGAAAAGCAGATATCAAAAGAGGTATTAATACCTTTAAACCTGCTCGTATCAAAACAGTTCTCAAGATGCATAGCCTTACCAAAGGGAAACATAAGAGTTGTCTGTCCCCAGAGTTCCTGGGAGACAAAGAAAGACTGGGCTGAAAACGAACACTTTGCTCCCGCTGAAAACAAACATGGGACAGCTTGTACTTCCGCGTCTGCCGAGGCTGGAAAACTCCAAGACCCACCCACAGCTGTCTGACGCAGTGCGCAAACTCACTGCTGCACTTGTCTTCTTGCGCATGCGCCTTCCCGTTGGCGTTCTCTGTGCAGACGCGTGGCACGCGAGCCGTTTGCTGCAATCATCTTTCCTCTTGAGACTATTCAGGTAGGTCCTCATGAGTCCTCTGGTCGATTTAAATGTGAATGCATTTGAGAACGCCACGCGGTTTCACGGGATTGGGTGATGTGACGTGTGGTCCCAGAGGAGGAGAAAACACTTCGAAGACGATGTGTTTCTCACTGGTGGCGCTGGCGCCATGTGCCTGATGTTTGTAGTGAGGCCCGAAAACAAAGGAAGGTGGCCCTCGGACAGGAGCGGGGTCACGTGAAGTTAGGGAAAGGGCCGGGAAGGCCGTTCGAGAAGTCTGCACTCCAGTGGCTCCTGGAGTGGCTCGCAGAGGCCAGATTGCCGAATCCTCAGTGGAGACCCAGGCGGGCAGAAGTCCTGGCAGGTGCAGAGGGCAGGGCATCGGGCCTGGAGACAGTGGGGTGATGTCAGCATCTCCGAGTTCAGTGAGGGGTCAGGCAGAGGTGCCCGGTGAGGGGTGTGCCCATCGGTCCGTACCCCAGCTTCTCACCTCTGCCTTGGACCATGCAGAGAAACTGCTAGGAGGAAGGATGGAAGCTGGACACTCCAACGAAACCGCCTCATCTGAGGCAAATGGGCCTCGTGTGTGAGATTAGACTAGAAACCCTCAAAAGCCAACCAAAAAGTCTGCTGCCCTGAGTTTTCTCTCCCTGGTGGTGTTCTCCCAACAGTCTGCATGATGGGGTATCCCGATGTGTGACGGATGTCATCACAAATGGCCCGTTGTGGCCATTTGCCTTAAGAACGTTCTTTGCCAGACTGGCCAGCATCAATATGATTGCCGACTTGCAGAAAAACGGAAAACATACACCCAATTTGGGACTTGTTTTGCAAATGCATTCAAAACTTTTTCATAATTACAGGAGGACACTAGGCTGTGGAGACAAATATAAATACAGCAATTGTCTTAAGTGTATTTTCCAAATCATAATGTTCTGCTTTCAGTGCAAAACATGATTGAGAGAATGAAATCAGCATCTTCAGTTACAGCAGAAGACATAGCAGCATGGATCCAAGAGCCAATTGAGCCTGAGGAGGTGAGTGCTTTAACTTATGATGATTTCTGTTGATAAATTCACTTTTCACGGAAGGTGACTAAGTGATACAGATATGCTGCTGATGTAGGTCATCCGTGTGGGTAATGGGTGACAGTGGGTCTCAGGAAAGAAACGTTGGTCCAGGAGGTTCTCATTCTGCTGTGTCCAGGGTGGATGTTCTTAGGTTCCTGGGAAATATAACCAGGGACTCCACAGCCATGCTTACGCTATGCAACAGACGTCCATCCCAGCATAGATAAAAATAACTTTAAAATCATTGGTGGCATCTGTCCTGGGAGACATCTCTCTGAAGGGTGAGTCACTTTATTAAGAATATAAGTGTGTAGGATTGTGTTGGAAATCTGTCTTTGATGACCATGATATGTACCTGTGCTTTATATAGAGTTATTACATGTATTAGAGCAAAAACATTTTATTTACCTGCACTCATTCCAATAGACCTTGCTGTTTGAGGATGAAGATTTTCTACTTGAAGAGGGGAACATTCCATATGATGAGGATGTGGAAGATGAGGAAGCACCTGAGGCTGAAGGTAAAGGGCAGGGGAAGTAAAATGCCTTTGGGGGTGAGGTGTGCATGTCCCTCATGCAACAGGGCACACTCAGTATCAGGAGGCATGAAAACATGTCTCACGTGTCTCAAACATGTCCTGAACGCTGGGTGGAAAGGTGAAGAGTATCGTTTACAGCTTAGTGTGTTGCCTCGCTCTAAGGAATTTCTCTTTCCTTCAAGACCTACTTTGACTGCTTCAGAATACCTTCCTTGCCAGGCCTCTCCACCGGGTGCCAAAGCATACCATTTCGTTTTTGTCCTAAAAGCATGTACTCTTTTGTAGCCATGTTCTCAAGAGACTGCCTATTTTTCATGGCATGTGAGGAACGCGTGGTCAGCGTACATGTATAACACTTGGGTACACAGGGATGTTGGCACGCTGTCTACAGGAGAAAACCGAGGCTCAGGTAGTGTGTCCTTTACCAAAGAGCACTTGGCTGGCTGAGTCACATCTTTCCTTCATTCTGCACGTTGTAATATTCCCATCACCTATGTTTTTGTGTGAAAAGTGAATGGCTTTTATTAAGTGCATAACACAAATGTCTGTGCTGCCTTATTGCATAATCCTGCATTTTTAGTTTATATTTTGGAAACCTAAGTTTGCACAAAACTTATCATGATACAATTATGTTACATGGAGTTTTCATCTATATTCACTAATTTTTATGCTTTAAGCTATGCAGGGTTTTCTCCGTTTTCTTCCTGCCTCACCCTCACTCCCTCCCACCCCCACTGCCCTTCTATTTGTCTCCCTTGTGTCCTGATTATCTGTGTATCGTAATGTGTATAAAGTTTTGTCCTTACTGCCTTTTTTATTAACACAGAATGATTTAGATTGATTTTCAATTCTTTTTTTAAAGATTTATTTATTTATTCGAAAGTCAGAGTTACACAGAGAGAGGAGAGGCAGAGACAGAGAGAGAGAGAGAGAGAGAGAGAGAGAGAGAGAGGTCTTCCATCCGCTGGTTCACTCCCCAGATGGCCACAACGGCCGGAGCTGCGCCGATCCGAAGGCAGGAACCAGGAGCTTCCTCCAGGTCTCCCACGCGGGTGCAGGGGCCCAAGGACTTGGGCCATCTTCTACTGCTTTCCCAGGCCACAGCAGAGAGCGGGATCTGAAGTGGAGCAGCCGGGACTCGAACCGACGCCCATATGGGATGCTGGCGCTTCAGGCCAGGGCGTTAACGCATTGCGCCAGAGCGCTGGCCCCTGATTTTCAGTTCTTATGAAGTCCCTTTACTCTCCTTGTGTGCATATCCAAGAAAAGTGGAAAAGTATTTCTTTCGATAACCATGGCATACTTAGAGAATCCAGGACATTTAACGGTTCAATAATGCAAGAATTTAAGATACTGTCTACACGATTCAGCATTGTACTCTGCATGCTTAATAATGTACATGCCACCCATGTAGGAGGCCTAGGTGGAGTTCTTGCCTCCTGGCTTTAGTTTGGTCCAGCCCTGTCTGTTGAAGGCATTTGGGGACTGAACCAGTGGATTGAAGGTCTTTCCCTCCTCTGTCACTTATCAAATAAATATTTTTTTTTAAAAAAGATACTGTCTACATTGAAATATCTCTGAGGTCTCAACAATTTCCTTTGTGTAATTTTTTCTCAATTAGAGTCCAGTGCATTGTCTTTGTAATGTACATTTAGCTCCCTTTAATTTGCATGGGTCTTTCCAATTTTATCATTCATGACCATGGCATTTTAATTACATTTTTAGCTACTTGATTATATTTGTGTATGTTTATTGGGTACACTGCAATAAATGGGCACATGTATTCATTGAATGTTGGTCAAACCAGGTTATTTAACATTACCATCTCCTCCTTAAATATATTTTTATTGTTTGACCACACTCCAGAGCTTGAGGTATCTGTGGTGAGAGTGTGACATTTCAAGAGATGTACAGAGGTTCTAGTCCCAGTTGCTCCTCTTCCAGTCCAGCTCTCTGCTGTGGCCCGGGAGGGCAGTGGAGGATGGCCCAAGTGCTTGGGCCCCTGCACCCGCATGGGAGACCAGGAGGAAGCACCCGGCTCCTGGCTTCGGATCGGCGTAGCTCCGGCTGTAGCGGCCATTTGGGGGGTGAACCAACGGAAGGAAGACCTTTGTCTCTCTCTCACTGTCTAACTCTATCTGTCAAATAAAAAAAAAAAAGAAATCTTCAAGAGATGTACAGAATGTGTACCAGTCAATTTAAAGCAGGTGACATTTCGATGTCCTTATATTCATCCTGTGTTTGGAGCCCCAAACTTCTTCCCTTTGATGCATTCATGGAATATATAATGGGCTATTGATAATTACGGTCATACAGCTGTGCAGTGCAACACTGGCACTTATTCCTGATCTCTGGCTGTATATTAATATCGTTTATCCAATACACCTACCCCCAAACTTGCCCAGCCTCTAGTCATCACTATTCTGTATTCTGATCAAATAACTGAGGCTACTGTCGTTGCTCAGGGGTTACACTAGCACATGTGAGTTGGTCATCCCATATGAGCATCAGTTTGAGTCCAGGCTACATCACTGCTGAACCAGCTTCTTGCAAAAGCACCTGGGAATGCCAAGTGCCTGTGCCCTTGCTACTCATGTGGGAGACCTAGATAGTGTTCCAGGCTCCTGATTCAACCTGGCACAGACCTGGGTGTTATGGCCATTTGGGGGAGGGTGAACCAACCAATGGACGATCTCTCTCTCCCTCTCTCTTTCTCTCTCTCCCCCCCTCCCTCTCCCTCTCTCCCTCTCTCCCCTCCCTCTCTCCCTCCTACCTCCCCACCGTCTCGTTCTCTGTCTCTCTCTGTAACCATGCCTTTCATATAAATACATATTTTTTAAAGACCAAAAATTATCTTGTAGCAGCTTGATGTTGTGAATTGGGTTGAGATACCACCTATGAGGCTGGCTTCCTCTATCAGTCTTCTGGGTGATGTGCTTCCTTTTGAAGCAGCTTCCAGGGCAGCAGAGAATGTCTCAAGTTGTTGGGCCCCTGCAACACAGCAGGGAGACGAGTATGGAGGTCCTGAGTCCTGTCTCCTGTATGGACCAGACATGGCTATTGAGGCCATTTGGGGAGTGAATCGCTAGGTGGGAGAAGTTTCTCTCTCTCTCTCTCTCTCTCTCTCACTTTCAAACAAATATATGTCTTTAACAATGATTTTGCAGCTTCCACATATGGTTTGATATATGTGGTGATTGTCTTCCTGATTCTGACTTATTTCCCTTAATTTGATACCGTCCACTTCCATACTGTTCAGGGCAAGTGAGAGGATATCGTTATTTTTATGGCTGAATAATATTCCGTTGTGTATAAGAACCACATTTTCCTTATGACTTCATCTGTTGATGGCTATCTTGGTGGATTTTATATCTTAGTTCTTGTGAATCAGACAGTAGTAAAACCGGGAGTGCAGTCATGACTTTGCTGTGCTGATGTCAAAGTCACCATAGTGGTAATAGGGCATGTGGGCCTCCTAACTGGTGGCTGAAGAGCTAGACCAAATAACTTCCCTGATGCATTTTTATTTATTTTTGAGGATTTATCTATTTATTTGAAAGGCAGAGTTTTAGAGGGAGAGAAACAAAGAGATGTCCTGTGTACTGGTTCACTCCTCAAATGGCCACAATGGCTGGAGCTGTGTGGGTACATAGCCAGGAGCAAGGAGCTTCCAGGTTTCCCACGGGAGTGCAGGGATCCACGTACTTGGACCATCCTCTGCTGCTTTACCAGGTGCATTATCAGGGAGCGGGATCAGAAGTGGAACAGCCAGTACTTGAACCAGCGCCCTTAAGGAATGCCAGCGTAGCAGGTTGCGGCTTTAACCACTGTGCCAATACATCACAACGCTGGCACCTACTGCTGACCTTGTAAAGAAGAGATTTCGATTGTTTATTACACCTTTCTGCATGCCATACTTATTGGAACCTCTGCATGCATGTCACAATTCAGGTTCTGGAATCTAAATACTAATCAGACACAGGGTGCTTAGCCTGTGACTCACATTCTCAGCAGAATACCCAGAATACCACTGATTGAATATGTTGAGTAAAATTGAAAGTAATTTCATAGAGGAAAGTGGTTTGATGGAGGGAAATCGTGGTAAGGGAAAAGGACAACATTGGGGGAATGTTACTTCCCCTCCTTTGTGGCAAACAGACTCCCGAAATTAAGTTCTTGGGATTCTTAGGAATCACATTCGTGATCACGTCAGCCCACAGCTTTGATTTCACGACACTGAAGGAATGAATTTTATCATTTTGTTGCTCATATTTCATGCTCTTTCTACTTAACTTGGTAACCACTCTATTTCTTTTGTATTTTTTATTTGAGGTATACCACACAATGCATTGGTAAGCATTTATATGTGTGTGTGCTTTTGTACATGCATGTATATTTGTATATAAATAATTCAATTACCAAAATAAAAAAGGATATATGCACTTCTTCCTATGCTTAGTCTTTATTTCAGTGGTAAGAGCACCATTCTCTTCAGTCAGTCAAATTCACTAAAAATATTCTATTGGTGACTAGTACGCATGTTGTACCTAGCATCCATAGATGTATGTAATAGGCAACTTTTCCCCTTGCAATTTTCCTTACCTATTCTTCACCCCCTCTCAGGATAATGACCATTCCACCATTTTTGTATATGCATCCATTCAGGTTTCTCGTGTTGTGAGATCAGGCAGTATTTTCTTTCTGTATCTGGCTCATCTGAGTCAGCCTGCTTTCCACCCATGCTTGTTGAAGCTCCCAGAGAACACACGACCAGCAATGGGCTTGCACTCTCAGAGCTAGGTTGTGAGGTGGGAACAGTAGAAGCAGTGGGAGCTCTGTGTCTGCACTGAGCCTGTCACTCCTTAGGGAGATGCTGGGCGGTGGGAATTCCGTCTTCACAGTGAGGTTCTCTGCACTTGGTGAAGTACACGGTGACAGTGTGTCACACGTTCTTCCCACTTAAGTGTGGACAGTTTCTCAGTTTTCTCGTGATAGGTGTGTATCATCCACTTTCTGTTCCTCACAGAGGGAATTGATTTGTGTCAGGATGTTTCTTTGGTGGAACTCTGGGAGGGCGAAAAGTCGGAACCTCCTGTTCTGCTATGTTGCTGATGTCACGTTTTATGTCTAAGAGGCACCCATGGAAGCTGATGTCCAGGAACCTTCTCAGGCCCAGCATCCACAGGAAGAAGAAGAACATCCTGAAGTCAATGAGGCACCATAGCATATCGGGAGCCCTAGAATGCCAGGAACAGGTATGTAACCCATGATGGTGCAGCGTCATGTGAATCTGTTTTCTACATACCTAGTCCTCTTACAGTACCTGTAGGGACAGCATTAATGCTAATTTAATGACAGTGTTCGCAGAACAGTAGTCCTTGAATCATCATTCAGATTTCAGAAGCCTGACTGCCTCACTGAAACACTATCTAATTACTAAACATTTGGGTCAAAGCCGTATAAATTATAATTTAATATTGCAATTTATTATCATTATAAATCTCCCAGCAACAGCTAACCTGTATTACATTCTCTTAAAGCTTGTACTTTTAAATATATAATGAGTTTTTACTAATGGTTTGTATGACAGACTCTGAAGCAGTGAAGTCGATTTTAGTATCAGTTCAAATATGACTTATGAGTTTCTGGATGAATCCTGTGCATTATAACGAAAGCATTGCTCTTATTAGCAATTAGAATTCCAATCACATATATTAAATATATTTATATCTTTTTTAACTTTTATTTAGTAAATATAAATTTCCAGTGTACAACTTTTGGATTATACTGGCTTTCCTCCCCCCTCCCCCATAATGTCCCTCCTACCCACAACCATCCCATCTCCTACTCCTTCTCCCATCCCGTTCATATCAAGATTAATTTTGAATTATCTTTATATACAGAAGATCAACTTGGTATATACTAAGTAAAGATTTCAACACTTTGCACCCACACGGACACACAAAGTATAAAGTACTGTTTGGGTACTAGTTATACCGTTAATTCACATGTAAGTACAACACATTAAGGACAGAGATCCTACATGGGGAGTAAGTGCACAGTGACTCCTATTGTTGACTTAACAAATTGACACTCTTGTTTATGACGTCAGTAATCACCTGAGGCTCTTGTCATGAGCTGCCAAGGCTAAGGAGGCCTCTTGAGTTCACCAACTCTGATCTTACTTAGACAAGGCCATAGTCAAAGTGGAAGTTCTCTCTTCCCTTCAGAGAAAGGTACCTCCTTCTTTGATGGCCTGTTCTTTCTGCTGGGATCTCACTCGCAGAGATCTTTCATGTAGGTCATTTTTTTCTTTTGCCAGAGTGTCTTGGCTTTCCATGCCTGAAATACTCTCATGGGCTTTTTAGCCGGATCCGAATGCCTTAAGGGCTGATTCTGAGGCCAGAGGGCTGTTTAGGACATCTGCCATTCTATGAGTCTGCTGTGTATCCCGCTTCCTGTGTTGGATTGTTCTCTCCTTTTTAATTCTATCAGTTAGTATTAGCAGACACTAGTCTTGTTTATGTGATCCCTTTGACACTTAATCCTATCATAATGATCAGTTATCAACTGAAACTGATCACGTTGACTAGTGAGAAGGCATTGGTGCATGCCACCTTGATGGGATTGAGTTGGAATCCCCTGGCACGTTTCTAACTCTACCGTTAGGGGTAAGTCCGAGTGAGCATGTGCCAAACTGTACATCTCCTCCCTCTCTTATTCCCACTCTTATATTTAACATGAATCACTTTTCAGTTAAATTTAAGCACCTAAGAAAAATCGTGTGTTGATTAAAGAGTTCAACCTATGGTATTAAGTGGAACAAAAAAAATACTAAAAGGAATAAAGTAGTGAGTTGTTCCTCGACAGTCAGGACAAGGGCTGATCAAGTCACTGCTTCTCATAGTGTCCATTTCACTTCAACAGGTTTCCTTTTAGGTGCTCAGTTAGTTGTCACCGATCAGGGAGAACATATGATATTTGTCCCTTTGGGACTGGCTTATTTCACTCAGCATGATGTTTTCCAGTTCCTTCATTTTGTTGCAAATGACTGGATCTTTCTTTCTTTCTTTCTTTCTTTCTTTCTTTCTTTCTTTTTTTTTACTGCTATATAGTATTCTATAGAGTACATATCCCATAATTTCTTTATCCAGTCTACTGTTGATTGGCATTTAGGCTGATTCCAGGTCTTAGCTATTGTGAATTGAGCTGCAATAAACATTAAGGTGCAGGCCGGCGCCACGGCTCAATAGGCTAATCCTCCACCTGCGGCGCCGGCACACCGGGTTCTAGTCCTGGTCGGGGCACCGGATTCTGTCCCAGTTGCCTCTCTTCCAGTCCAGCTCTCTGCTGTGGCCCGGGAGTGCAGTGGAGGATGGCCCAGGTTCTTGGGCCCTGTACCCGCATGGGAGACCAGGAGAAGCACCTGGCTCCTGGCTTCGGATCAGCGCAGTGTGCCGGCTGCGGCTCCACTGGAGGGTGAACCAACGGCAAAAGGAAGACCTTTCTCTCTGTCTCTCTCTCTCACTTTCCACTCTGCCTGTCAAAAAAAAAAAAAAAGGTGCAGACAGCTTTTTTGTTTGCCAATTTAATTTCCTTTGGGTAAATTCCAAGGAGTGGGATGGCTGGGTTGTATGGTAGGGTTATATTCAGGTTTCTGAGGAATCTCCAAACTGACTTCCATAGTGGCTTCACCAGTTTGCATTCCCACCAACAGTGGATTAGTGTGCCTTTTTCCTCACATCCTCGCCAGCATCTGTTGTTGGTAGATTTCTGTATGTGAACCATTCTGCCCAGGGTGAGGTGAAACCTCATTGTGGTTTTGATTTGCATTTCCCTGATGGCTAGTGATCCTGAACATTTTTTCATGTGTCTGTCGGCCATTTGGATTTCCTCTTTTAAAAAATGTATATTGAGGTCCTTGGCCCATCTCTTAAGTGAGTTGTTTGTTTTGTTGTTGTGGAGTTTCTTGATCTCTTTGTAGAATCTGGCTATTAATCCTTTATTCGTCGCATAATTTGCAAATATTTTTTCCCGTTCTGACGGTTGCCTCTTCACTTTCCTGACTGTTTCTTTTGCAGGACAGAAACTTCTCAATTTGATGTAATCCCAATTGTTAATTTTGGCTTTGACTGCCTGTGCCTCCGGGGTCTTTTCCAAGAAGTCTTTGCCTGTGCCTATATATTTCAGGGTTTCTCCAGTGTTCGCTAATAATTTGATGGTGTCGGGTCATAGATTTAGATCTTTAATCCATGTTGAGTGGATTTTTGTGTAAGGTGTAAGGTAGGGGTCTTGCTTCATGCTTCTGCACATGGAAATCCAGTTTTCCCAGCACCATTTGTTGAATAGACTGTCCTTACTCCAGGGATTGGTTTAGGATCCGTGATCAAATATAAGTTGGCTGTAGATGTTTGGATTGATTTCTGGGGTTTCTACTGTGTTCCATTGGTCTATCCATCTGTTTCTGTACCAGTACCCCACTGTTTTGATTATAACTGCCCTGTAGTATGTCCTGAAATCTGCTATTGTGTTGCCTCCGGCTTTGTTTGTGTTGTACATGATTGCTTTAGCTATTCGAGGTCTCCTGTGCCTCCATATGAATTTCAGCATCATTTTTTTCCAGATCTGAGAAGAATGTCTTTGGTATTTTGATTGGTATTGCATTGAATCTATAAATTGCTTTTGGGAGAATGGACATTTTGATGATATTGACTCTTCCAGTCCATGAGCATGGAAGATTTTTCCATTTTTTGGTATTCTCTTCTATTTCTTTCTTTAAGATTTTGTAATTCTCATCGTAGAGATCTTTGACGTCCTTGGTTAAGTTTATTCCAGAAGGTATTTGATTGTTTTTGTAGCTATTGTGAATGGGATTGATCTTGGGTATTTGTGGTCTCTTATCTTTCCTTATGAATATGAACATAGTTTTCTGTACATCTGTGAAGAATGTCACTGCTATTTTGATTGGTATTTCATTAAATCTGTCAAAGGCTTTTGGTAGTATGGACATTTTGATGATGTTGATTCTTCCTATCCGTGAACATGGAAGATTTTTCCATTTTTAATGTCTTCTTCTATTTATTTCTTTAGTGTTTTGTGATTTTCATAATAGAGACTTTTGACATCCTTGATTAAATTTATTCCAAGGTATTTGATGATTTTGGAGCTATTTTTTTTTTTTGTCTTAGAATCCTAAACTTTTTCTCTCTTTCTTTTTTTTAACTTTTATTTAATGAATATAATTTCCAAAGTACAGCTTATGGATTACAATGGCTTTTCCCCCCACCCATAACTTCCCTCCCACCCCCCACTCTCTCTCCCCTTCCATTCACATCAAGATTCATTTTTGATTCTCTTTATATACAGAAGATCAGTTTAGTATATATTAAGTAAAGATTTCAACAGTTTGCACCCACACAGAAACACAAAGTGAAAAATACTGTTTGAGTACTAGTTATAGCATTAAATCACAATGTACAGCACATTAAGGACAGAGATCCTACATGAGGAGTAAGTGCACAGTGACTCCTGTTGTTGACTTAACAAATTGACACTCTTGTTTATGGTGTCAGTAATCACCCTAGGCTCTTGTCATGAGTTGCCAAGGCTATGGAAACCTTTTGAGCTTGCCGACTCTGATCATATTTGGACAAGGACATAGTCAAAGTGGAAGTTCTCTCCTCCCTTCCTCCCTTCAGAGAAAGGTACCTTCTTCTTTGATGACCTGTTCTTTCCACTGGGATCTCACTCACAGAGATCTTTCATTTAGGGTGTTTTTTTTTGTTTTGTTTTGTTTTGTTTTGTTTTGTTTTGTTTTGCCAGAGTGTCTTGGCTTTCCATGCCTGTAATACTCTCATGGGCTTTTCAGCCAGATCCGCGTGTCTTAAGGTCTGATTCTGAGGTCAGAGTGCTGTTTAGGACATCTGCCATTCTATGGGTCTGCTGTGTATCTTGCTTCCCATGTTGGATTGTTCTCTCCCTTTTTTATTCTATCAGTTAGTATTTGCAGACACTAGTGTTGTTTATGTGATCCCTTTGGCTCTTAGTCCTATCATTGTGATCAATTGTGAACTGAAACTGATCACTTTGACTAGTGAGAAGGCATTGGTACATGCCACCTTGATGGGATTGAATTGGAATCCCCTGGCACGTTTCTAACTCTACCGTTAGGGGCAAGTCCGATTGAGCATGTCCTAAATTGTACATCTCCTCCCTCTCTTATTCCCACTCTTACATTTAACAGGGATCACTTTTC